AATATATATATATATATATATCAATAAAGCATGTCTGCATAGTATGCCTATAAACTCAAACATTTTGTAGCTACAAGAAACTTGAGTTATTGATCACGTGATGATTATTGTGTGCTCCATAACATTTTCATAAGTGATAACATTATATGTACACAAATCTTATTCATTCTGACAGTCTTTAACGAAAACAAGTAATGATCTTTCTTATTCACTTTGAAACATGTCAAATATAGGTGAGGTGTATGCGTCCCTAGCATGAATCAATAAAGAAAGTTTAACCTTTAAAATAGGTATTCTTTGAGTCATTTCAAAAGTTGGCATATTCTAATTGGTGCACTTATCATCAACTGGTCTTTGAAAAATTTAAAAAGTTGAACAATATCCAAATCAAATTTCAAATATCCCCTTAAAATTTTATTAAAGCTCTCACTTAATCATGTGATATACATACCTGCTGAAAATGTATTTCTTCCATAAGTCATCGATCATTTCTCCATAATAGTAAACATTGTTTTCAACCAATTATTATCCACAAGATCATATTTCTCAAGCATATCATGCCATGCATTTAAAAATTATCCTCATACCCATAAAGTGATTTGTTAAAATCTCTTTGAAATGATGAATTAGCTCTAAAGCTATGATTAGGATGTTTAAATGCATTTTTTAAGTGTCACATACATAGTCGATGATATGTACGGGGCATATAAATGAGATTGCGAAAGCTATTGCAGGATCTTGATCTATCATGAATGTTTGTGGTTTATCTGCAAACTAAAGAATGCGTTAAAAAGTCATTCAAAGTATTTAGATGATTCTTCATACAAGAGAGTTGCACAAAATATAACCATTTCCCTATATGGTTATTCAAATCAACAAATAATGCCAAGGATCGATACTTTTTGTTTGTCATATACGTAGTATCAAATGACACACCATATCCATAGATCTTAAAATCTTTTATCATCTTTGCATCAATCCAAAATACATTAGTTATCAAACTATCATCATCTAACTGTAAAGAAAATTGCAAAAATAGAATCTTCTGGTGTTCGT